CCGCTGGACGATGAGAGCGAATCGGAATCTGAGACCAGTGAGGCATCACTCTGGTTCACGCCAACCCCATCAGGCAGTGACTCGGATATCAGTAGCCTTCAAGTGACGCGGTGTCTTTCGACCCTCAGACCTCAGACAGGAGCACAAGCAACGATGAGGGCTCGCAGCGTCCCTCTTCGAAGAAGTACCCGGCGCAAGCGATCACCACCTCCCTGTCAACTCTGTGATCATGAGATCAGGGGAGTGTGGGGAAAATAGAAACGGCCTACCTCGCAAACGTTCTCGCATCTTCCTGGCCTGTGGGTTGAGAAAGGAAAGAAAAGATTCAAAATGGCGTCCGTGACTTTTAATATTCACGGTCTCGTGCAGTCACATAAAGTCGCGTTACACACATGCTAATGAGGTGTGTCTGGGCTCCATAAAAGCAGGTTGCTTGGAGACATTGGCAGACCAACATTTCACCCGTGCTTGGTGTACATCGTTTTGCGTTGCAGACATTTTCAGACGGAAAGAGTTGCGTCCCTTACACTGTTTAAGTCGACTCATTTGCTACAATACCTTTCTCAAGGGTATTAGCATGTAAATGAATGTAATGGATTTGACTGGAATTTGAACTCAGATCTCTGATTCCTCAATCTGAGCTGCTATTTAATTCTGTTTATTCTACCCAGTTTGGTAACATCCTCACTGTTAAAAAAAAGATCTTGCATAATCAATTGAGTGACAGCACTTCAGACAAATAGAAGAATATTCCCTGTGGAGAAAGTTCAATTAACTTAAAATAATACCTCAATGTTAAATCTACTTTGGTAGGAATGAAGACAAGTTACTAACACTGTTTAGAACACATCCATTAAGCTGAGGAGTAGGTGTCTAATATCTTCAGAAATTTGTTATCCAAGGATGGTGAGTTCAATCCTAGGTAGAACCACAAGAGTCAGCATAGTTAACACTCACTTTTCAATCATGGTAGAGCTCAAAAATCGTTTAGGCAGATTTGTAAAAGATTTTCCACATTCTATAAACTCATTCCACCAGATGCAAACCTATTGCTGTTCTGTTTCTATATCTGTGGGAAATTTTCAAATGTGTTCCACTCTTTAGAAACTTATCATGCCAATTCCGCAGAAGGAAATCACCCATATTTCCTCTATTTTCATTTGTAAGAAGGATATCCCACTTAGATAATCTCCCCACTACCCCAAGAACTGTTATTCACTGGAACAGACTCCCATGTGGATAGATTTAAAATGACTCATTTTCTTTTTGAAATGATTTCAATTTGAAATTTAAGTGGAATGACAACTCTTTTCAGAAATAAAATATTTGTCAAGTACCAGTAGGCAGAAAAAATGCATAATAAACCCAAAGCCAACCAAATGAAAAAAAATGCAGCCAGTAAAGCTACTTGAATTTTCTAAATGTTTTTTTCTTTCTTTCTTTCTCCTTCTATGATTTTTCTAGTTCCTTATTTTATTTCCCAATACAAATAAAATTCATGAAAACATTCAAAATTTTTCACTCACCACTTTTGGACAGAGAATTTCGAATTTATTTTGGCATTTTGAAGCATTTCCATATTGTGTTGAAATTTAAAGAACTTTCACATTGTTTTGGCATTTTAAAGAATTTTGATATTGTTTTGGCATTTTAATGAACTGCTATATTGTTTGGGCAAAATAAAAGTATTTTGGCATTTTAAAGCATTTCTATATTGTTTTGGTATTTTAAAGAACTTCCATATTGTTTTGGTATTTTAGAGAACTTCCATATTGTCTTGGTATTTTAGAGAACTTCCATATTGTTTTGGTATTTTAAAGAATATCTATATTGTTTTGGTATTTTAGAGAACTTCCATATTGTTTTGGTATTTTAGAGAACTTACATATTGTTTTGGTATTTTAGAGAACTTCCATATTGTTTTGGTATTTTAAAATATTTCTATATTGTTTTGGTATTTTAAAGAATTTCCATATTGTTTTGGTATTTTAAAGAACTTCCATCTTGTTTTGGCATTTTAAAGAATTTCCATATTGTTTTGGTATTTTAAAGAACTTCCATATTGTTTTGGTATTTTAAAGAACTTCCATCTTGTTTTGGTATTTTAAAGAATTTCCATATTGTTTTGGTATTTTAAAGAACTTCCATATTGTTTTGGTATTTTAGAGAACTTCCATATTGTTTTGGTATTTTAAAAAATATCTATATTGTTTTGGTATTTTAGAGAACTTCCATATTGTTTTGGTATTTTAGAGAACTTACATATTGTTTTGGTATTTTAAAATATTTCTATTATTGTTTTGGTATTTTAAAGAATTTCCATATTATTTTTTGGTATTTTAAAGAACTTCCATTTGTTTTGGTATTTTAAAAATTTCTATATTGTTTTGGTATTTTAAAGAACTTCCATCTTGTTTTTATTTTAAAGAACTTCCATATTGTTTTGGTATTTTAAAGAATTTCCTTATTGTTTTGGTATTTTAATGAATTTCCATATTGTTTTGGTATTTTAAAGAATTTCCATCTTGTTTTGGTATTTTAAAGAACTTCTATATTGTTTTGGTATTTTAAAGAATTTGTATATTGTGTTAGCATTTTAAAGAACTTCCATATTGTTTTGGTATTTTAAAGAACTTCCTTATTGTTTTGGTATTTTAAAGAATTTCCATATTGTTTTGACATTTTCATAAATATTTTTATTATAATAATAAATTATAATATCCTTCACTTGCTTCAATTTGTGATTTCCACAGAGTTTGTAGTGATTAAAGCAAGTTTCATCATTGTTAAAAATTGATAAAAATTTGAAATCACTAGACCATGAAGTCATATTTCCACAAGACCATTTAGAAACCAGATCATTTTCCAACAAATATATGATGTCATAGTCTGATGAGCCAATCAGAAATAAAGATTTCCAACAAAGATATGATGTTATGGCCTTACAAACTCATCAGAAGCCAAGCATCAATTTCTAAATGGATTTTCTTGTATGACAACATACATATATAAAAAAATAGATAGGCCAACTTCAGTTAGGTAAGATGCATTATTGTTATCAGTTCTCCACTTCCAACTGTCATTATTTAAACAAATAAGGCAAAAATACTTGCACATATGTGTGCCACACACTTTGTTCAACTTAACTTCAGTTATTTATAAAGATGACTACTAGAGCTTTATACAGGGTGCGATGGATAAATTGTCATCTAAATTACATGAAAATGAATATAACACTGACATCTCATTTTAACAGATATATTTACCAAAATTATACAAAATTATCTTGAAATACTAAAGAGTAAATTTATTCATAAAACCTCCATTGGCTTCAGCCACAGCCTCCAGACGACTTTGGAATTTCCTGAAACTCTTCTGGTCTCTTTGTTTAAGTTGGTGAATACTGCTATAATCTCTGCCTTCAGGTCATCTTTGGTGTTACAAAGAGTTTTGTTGATCTCTCGCTCAACTGTGCCCAACACATAATAATCAAGCATTAAAATTTTTCAAGTTGTAAAAAAATATACAATTTTAACATCATTCAAGAGAGAAATAAATTCTGCATAAAGTGTACACAATAAAACTAATTTATATTGTTTTATTAGAAAAATATTCTGAAATGAATAAAACTTTAACTATCAGTCTTAAACTTATTTTCATCAGTGTATGTGTGGAGCCTATGTCCAGAAGACAGTTATGCAGTCTGCTTTCAGTCATCGAGCAGTAAACATCAGGTTTATATAGAAAATTTAAGAGGCATGACAAGATCACAAATGATGAAAATCATATTGAAGATGTTATTTGTTAATATTCCAATTTTTGAAATTTTTATTTCTTGAAAAAAATGCATTTTTGCCTACATGTCCAGACTTTATTGATACTCCATACATTATTTCGTTTTAAGCCAGCAATGACATCTGATATTGTCTTGGCTAAGTCTCTTTCTTTTGTTCTTCTGCAATTTGCATTCATTACTTTGAGTGAAAAAAACTGCAAAGTAAACAACGATTAATATTCAACAGTGTTAAGTTTCAGTCCTATTCTTTTTAGAAGCATTGGTGAGAATCCAGTAAATGCTGAAAGATTCCTTTCCTCCAACTTATTTAATCAATATTCAGGGCTTTGAGAGAATATGGTGGAGCAATGATGAAACTTACTTCAATTGTCTTTAGTTATCACTTCACACACACACAAATTTTCAGCTTTAAAAGATTACTTTAATTTATTTAGAATCTGAAAAATAAAAAGTCAAGGAAATTCAAATTTTCTATTCGGGTTTTTTTTTTATGCACAAAATGCATCTTATCTGTTTTCAAAAATGAAATTTTTTAAAAAATTTTTTCTCTTTAAATAAACTCAATAAAGATACATAAATAAAAAAAATCTAAATGGCGGATAAACTCATATCTAAGGATGCCTATCAACTGGGGTGGCTAACTAATCCCTGTTGCAGATGCCTGCTCAACACTCAAAGAGTCCACCTGTAGTTAATACTGCAAACTATGCTGAGTGGAACTTAATTACAATTTCTGGGAGACTGTGCATTATCTAGCATTATCAATAATCTGAATAAGTCCAGCGCAATCAAAACCTCGGTCACGATGATTTGTGACTTAGTATTAACATGACCATTGACAGTTCCATCTACCTAATTTCACTCACAAGGCTTGGGTCAATGCGTGGTATGGTTTTTCAGGCACTTTCCAAAGGTGCCTCATGCTGGGATCACCTCTTCTAGACTGATAGCATCAAGATATCACCTTCCTGACAAATCAACCAAGTGAGATTTGAACCTAGGTCTCCTAGTTAGAACATGTTCTGACCACTCTGTCACATGCACATATAAATAAAAACACTATTAAAAGAAAAAAACAAATTGAGTAACTGATTTTATTTTTTTTATGGATAAAATAAAATTATTTCAGAAATAAAAAATCAGATTTTTAAAAAAACTTCAACACTGTTTACTTCACATTTTAAATTTCTTACTTCCCTATATTATGAAACCCCGCTTACTCTCCTTTATTATGGAATCCTGCTTACTCTCCTTTATTATGGAATCCTGCTTACTCTCCTTTATTATGGAATCCTGCTTACTCTCCTTTATTATGATACCCTGCTTACTCTCCTTTATTACGAAACCCTGCTTATTCACCTTTATTAGGAAACCCTGCTTACTCTCCTTTATTATTGAATCCTGCTTACTCTCCTTTATTACGAAACCCTCCTTACTCTCCTTTATTATGGAATCCTGCTTATTCTCCTTTATTACGAAACCCTCCTTACTCTCCTTTATTATGGAATCCTGCTTACTCTCCTTTATTACAAGACACTGCTTATTCTCCTTTATTAGGCAACCCTGCTTACTCTCCTTTATTACGAAACCCTCCTTACTCTCCTTCATTACGAAACCCTGCTTACTTCACTTTATTCCCAAGGTAGAATCTGAATGCTCAGGAAGTACTTTCAAGGCAAAAAGCACTTCAGACAAGAATGGAAATGAATCGTAAATATGTTCAGAGTCCTTTTTAAAGATCTTCTTTCAAGTTTCATTAAATAATTTATTTAACATCAAAACAAACTAAATGCTTTAACAGGAATCCCTGTCTGTTCTACATGTTTAAATATAGGATTGCTGTATAAATGTTTATATACATTGTGAAGATTACTTTTTACAAAACATTATAATTTTTGAATGATTTTACTCCAAGCAAGGCAATAAAGCCACTAAGGCATAAAGGGTTATGAGTAAGCTGAGGTCTTGTTAAATTAAATTAAATTGAAAATAGCTGCAAAAATGAATACAGAACATTTACTTTCGACTGATAGTTATCAGTAAGGGAAATCAACTTCAAAGTACTGAGCAAGAGGCTCAGACAGAGAGAAAGTGATGGAATGAAGATAAATTACATTTTTAGATGAAGACAACAAGACAAAGAAAAGTGTTATCTATAAAATTTATCATGCCATGAAAAAGGTACAGAGAGGAACAAAGTGAGTCTCAGAGAACAGACTGGGAAGACAGTCATTAGACTGTGCCCCTCACCAACACCTCATTTCTAAGTCACTCACTTATAGCAGTAGGTTACAACCCAAGAATAAAATTTGGTTTATTGCTAGAAATTGTTTTGTTTTTTTTACTCATGGGTAACAATCTGGCATCTTACTAATCTTACAGGTTTAGTAATTGATTCAATATAATCTTTCCACTTTATGTCAGTGGAAAATGTTAGCCCAAGAAGTCTCAAGTAGTCACTCTTCCTGGAGGTTAACATCAGCTATGCTGATGGAAGTCAAAATATTCTCTAAGATGATTAAAACAGTGCAGTTTTGTTTTGCAGGTGTTAACCTTAAGAAGTCATTTCTTGCCCCAGTTAACAACAGCTTGTAGGACATTTTTGAGCTCAGCTGCCAACTTGACCTTATAGAACCAATCAGACTTACTATTAAAACAGGAGTAAATAACTGTGTAAGTGGTAAATCAAATAAGAGACTAGGAAGATAAAGGGAGATAACCGAGACATCCAGGAGAGGCATGGTACATGGAACTAGAACAATCTACCCCGGTGGATAAAATAAAGGATTCAGTTCAAAATTCCAATCACCGGAAGAAGGCCAGAGTGTACAACAGTCGAAACATTGTAAATATAGCAAAAAAGATGAGGACAACAATCTGAAGAATGTAAATTGTGTAAATAATTAGCAGTCAGTCTTGTATATATGCTATATATTTTCAAGGGAGAAATAAAGATACAGGGATGCAAGCTTCATTTTTTTATGTCTAGGATATCTAAATGTTTATCTTAATTGATAATGATTTGATTACTTACCATTGGTTTGTATCTAACAAATAATAATGATTAATTGATATATGGATTTGTAGATCATATCTTCCATACATATATGCACACACACACACACACACATATATATATATATATATATATATATATGAAGCAAGGAAGAATTTTGGAGACTGTCACTACCATAACAAGGCAAACAATTTGCACATTTTCAGGGAAACTTAGAAACTGCAACTGACCAAAGGAAATAATAAAACCCAAAAAACCAAAAGGGGAAAGGAAACATAAACCAAGAGGTTTATCCTGTACAAGACCCAAGAGCCACTTGAGGTAGAGGGTTATTTTAAGAGATAGTTTATATGGATAAAAGGGAAAGATAACATTTAACCCTGGATTTGAACAAGATTGTAGAGATTGGGGAAACATCCTCTTGGGTGTAGGTTCCACAGAGCAGTGATTTGTAGGAAAAGACAAATAATCACAACATTCTACATGTACGCACATCTGTGCAGACAAAATGAATGGGAACACACGCACACACACACACGCATGCACACACACACACGCATGCACACACACACACAGACCCCCCCCACACACACACACACATATACATGCACACACACATAAACACACACAAATGAAAAAAATGGACCAATGATAAGTATGGATAAAAAATAAAAAAAAAAGCAGTCAAATGTGCATACCACTGAATGGGACGGGTCCGTCTCTGATACTCTGGAGTCAGGATGCTGAAGATCACATCAATCAACTAATTTACAAATATTTATGTATGTATGTATATGTGTGTATGTACATACATGTATGTGTGTATGTGTGTGTGATATATCTATCTCTCTCTCTCTCTCTCTATATATATATATATATATATATATATATATATTATAAATTAATTAATTTAAAATATGTTTTTTTCGGTACCCCGTTCTAACCCAGTTTCAAAAATGGAAGGTTAAAAGCTCTGAATTTAATTTTGTAATTAAATTAAAGACATTAGTTCCATTTCATCCTCAAGCGAATGATGAAATGGAACTAATGTCTTTTAAGATTAATTACAAAATTAAATTGAGGCTTTTTAGCTTCCATTTTGAAACATGGTTAGAACTGTGTAGCGAAAAAAAACATATTTTAAATCAATTAATTTATAATATACATATATCTTATATAAATGTCTTATATTAAACTTAGTTAGCCACGGTTACTGACCTAAATATACAACAATATTTCTTACACCAAAACAACACAGTCTTAGTTACCATTCTTATTACAGTCACCATAATACCTCTCAGCCTCTATGAAGTCCTAACTAGTTTCTATATGCACATTTGGTTGGGGTCGGGGGAATAAAGATAATGACACTGAGGAAAGTTCATCAGAACAGTTACCTTGAATGTATTTATAGAAAATTGTTTGATAAGTTAAGAGTCTCTCATGATTTTCAAAAGTGTTTGTTTTTAATCATTTCACCCCAGGCAAGGCAAGAGAATCACTATGATGCAAGGGAGTACTAATTGTTAGAGAATACGAGAAAAACACTATTAAGGAGATAGAACAATAAAACAACAAGAATTAAGAAAACAGATGATAATGGCTAACATTGCATTTAAATTTTTGAAGGACAAAGTTCATTGGGAAGGAAGTAGCTGGAAGGGCAAGAAGTGCAAGACAAGAAACTGTTACGATAGAACTTACGATTACATCTAACCATTTGAACAGTAAAATGGTTTGACTTTACTGCCAATCTAGTACTGCACTTAAATTAATAAAGTCTAGAGAGGAATGTAATATTTATTTTGAAAAATACAAAAATGGTGTAAAAGACCAAAAGGGGTGATGCAGGATTGCTGATCTTCATTTTGTCTTATCTTAAACTTAGCTAGCCATGATTACTGACCCAAACATAGCACACTATTCCTTACACTAAGACAACACATTCTAACCATTTTTACTACAGTTACCATAATGCCTCAGAGTCTCTATGAAGTCCTAACTAGTTCCCATATGTACAATTTTGCTGGGGGTAGGGGGAATAAAAATGACAAAATTAAGGAAAGTTCATAAGAATAATTATCATGAAAGTATTTATGGAAAAGACACAAGGAAGCTACATTACGGTGGTGAGAAATTGACTGAAGCCAAGACTACATAGCAGATTCTTAAATACCAAATATTTGTGTATTTCTCCAGTTTTCCTTTTAATAATCTAAAAATAGAAAGTATCTTTTGGATGCTGCTTTGTTGCTTTCAAAAATGAGTCCCCATTTTTGAAGATGGTATCATACTTTTGTTTGAAGTGATAACTATTTTGCTTAGAAACAATAAACAATGACATGATAAAAATACAGATTTTTCTGTGACCCTCCATTTTTTAATATCAAACACGACTTAGCACAGTTTAAGGACAGCAGGTTATTTTATGTTATTAAATCCTAAATTCAATAAAAGAAATGTGCTCATCATATCAAATTCAAAGGCAGTAAAATCCCAGACTCTCTTTATGACAAATGGCAATATAAGAAGCAAGTTTTAATTTTGAAATATTGTAGACTTTATATATTTCAACACCAACATTCTTTTGATTCGTTGAGAAATTGGTGTTTATTCTTTTACAATGACATAAATATTCAATAAGAATCGAAATGTGTCTTTTGTTTACAAATAAATAGAAAACAAACATAAATCACTTACGTTTTTTTTTTCCAGATCAAATCAATAATTTTTTGTTGGAATCCAAATATTTTTCAAACAATAAAATAAAAGAAAAACGTACTGAACCTTTCATAAACTTTTATATTTCCTTCATTTCAAATCAAAAATTACTTTTCTTGTATTTTCCTGTTTTTAAGGAAAACTCTCTTTATAATACAAATAAAAATATGCTGATATGATTCCAGAACAGAGAAATGCCAAACTACCATATTCTTGTGTATAAGACAGACTTTTATACTATATTTGTTGTCAAAATCTGTTCACTTTTATTCATACCAAAGTGACAAATGCTGTTAAGATAATCTATTTTCTATGAATGAAACTCCTCCAAGTTCTGGGTCATTTGATGTGGTCAGATAACTTTACAAGTGGAGGTTTTTCATCCAGGTAGTCATATTTGTTGGTGCCAAAACCCGCAGTTCATTTACTACCCTTTGCTGACCTGACTGATATTTTTGAAGTGGTTCTAACTTCTTGCCGGTAAGCCTTTTATGTATTTTTTTCCTTTTTAACCACTAGCCAAAACAATACAATTAAAATAAAACCTTTTTTGTTTACTATGAAACCTGTTGCATATGTGCACATATATTCTATTAAGCATTCAATGTTTGTATAGTTATCTCCCTTTAACTCTATAAACAATGTTTACATAATTAACTTCCATTAGGTTAAAGAGTTCTACAAGGCAACACTTATGGACAAGAGAGGAGGAAATAAAAGCGGTAGCTAGCAACGCACATGAATATTTGTTATCTTTTGAACTGTATGATTTAAAGTCTCTTACCCACAGGTCAAACATCCTATCTAGACTCCAATAAGGCTTTTCTACTTCTCATCTGTTAAACACATAACAAAACCTAGTTTGTTTTTTTAAGCATTTCACACCAAACAAAGCAGGAAGCCACTAGCACACAAGTGGTTACAGAGAGTTGGAGTGAAAGCAAATAGGAGTGATAGAGGAAAGGACGAAGAGACGG